AATACAGGAAACAGTCGTATTAACTCTAGTCACCAGGCTGTACATTATAACCCCAGGACTTACCTATTTTATAACTGGAAGTTTGTACTTTTGACCACAATTATAATGCATTTAATAAAAAGTTAGAAATATGACATTTTCTGAAGTTAAGACAGGTGCAGTTTTGAACTTTGCTTTTTATTAGAAAATATTGGACAACTCATAGGCATTTACTTGAGACACAGGACAAAACACCTGATTAAACCATGGGCAGTGAGAAAGTTATTGATAATTATATTGAAATCATGGGCGCCTGGGTGGCTCAGTTGGTTAAGCGACTGCCTTCGGCTCAGGTCATGATCCTGGCGTCCCAGGATCACCTCCCGCATCAGGCTCCCTGCTCAGCAGGGAGTCTGCTTCTCCCTCCGACCCTCCCCCCTCTCATGTGCTCGCTCTCTCAAATAAATAAAATCTTTAAAAAAATTATATTGAAATCAAAATAGAATTAACTTTATTTTTCTTATAGTAATTTTATATATATGTTGTTTTACTACACTGTACAAAAAAATTGAAGAATATTATTTGTTAATACTCATGAAAAAACTATTGGAATCTTAAAATTTGAGATGAATTTTTATTTCTACCATGTTTGCTTTTTTTAGTTTTATTATTTCTACTTTTATCTTATTATTTTCTTCCTTATATACTTATGGTTGTTATTTACTTGATTTCTTGGATCAAATGCTTAAGTCATTTGTTTCCAAGCTTCTTATTTTCCAATAGGTATTCCTTTCTTGTTTTTAACCTTTTCTTTAATTGAATATAGTTGACATATACAATATTATATTAGTTTGAGGTGTACAACTTAGTAATTCCCCATTTATATGCATTAAAAAGTGCTTATGATGATAAATGTAGTTACTGTCTGTCACCATACAAAGTTACTACAATATTATTGACTGATATTCCCTGTGCTGTACTTTTAACCCCAGTGAATTATTTATTTTAAAGCTGGAACTTTGTACCTCTTAACCCCCTTGTATGTCACCCATCCCCACACCCACCTTCCCCTCTGACAATAATCAGTTTCTGTATTTTTTAGTCTCTCTCTCTCCCTCTCTCTCAAATAAATAATCTTTTTTAAAAATAAAGTTAGATCCAAAAATTCAATGCAAAGACCAATATCAAGGAACTTTACCACCTATTTTCTTCTAGTTTTATATTTCCAGGTTTTACATTTAAGTCTCTAATCCGTTTTGAGTTAATTTTTGTGTATGGTATAAGATAGTGTAGTTTTATTCTTTTGAATGTGGCTGTCCAGTTTTCCTCTACACTGCTTATTGAAGAGACTGTCTTTTCCCCATTGTATATTTTCACCTCCTTTTTCATAAGTCAGTGGACTGTATATGCATGGGTTTTATTTCTGAGCTCTATTCTGTTTTATTGATCTCTGTCCCTGTTTTTATGCTAATGCCATACTGTTTTGATTACTATAGTTTTGTAATATAGTTTGAAATCAGGGTCCAGCGTTGTTCTTTCTCAAGATTGCTTTTATGGTTCCATACAAGTTTTAGAATTGTTTGTTCTGTTTCTGTGAAAAATACCATTGGAATTTTGATAGAGATTGCATTGAATATGTAGATTGTTTTGTGGTGGTACAGACATTTTAGTATTAATTCTTTCAATCCACGAGTATGGTATATCCGTTTATTTATTTTTCAGTTTCTTTCATCAGTGTCTTACAATTTTCAGTGTATAGGTCTTTCACCTCCTTGTTTAAATTTATTCCTGGGTATTTTATTCTTTGTGATGCAACTGTAAAGTGAGTTTTTAAAATTTCTCTTTCTGATAGTTGCTAATGTATAGAAACAGAACAGATTTTATATATTGATTTTGTATCTTGCAACTTCACTGAATCCATTTATGTTATAGCTGTTTTGGTGGAGTCTTTAGGGTTTTCTGTATTTAAAATCACGTCGTCCACAAAAAGTGACAGTTTTACCTTTTTCCTTTCCAATTTGGATCCATTTTCTTCTTCTTGCCTAATTGTTCTAAGATTTCTAATACTATGTTGAGTAAAAGTGGTGAGAGTAGGCATCCTTGATTCGTTCCTGATCTCAGAGGAAAAGCTTTGAGCTTTTCAACATTCAGTATGATGTTAGCTGTGGGGTGAATCTTTGTTAATAATATCCAGCACTACTCCCTTATTTTACAAGATAGATAAATTAATTGCAAGTGTTTTTTTTTTTATTTGTTTGTTTGTAATGCTTCAAAAATATGGAGTCTTTCATGTAAGATGTCACTTTTTTAAGTACTGACTTCATATTATATCCTTGATATAAAACCTATGAGAGCAATAGTATTTTCTGAGGCTGCTTGCCAGATTATATTCATGTAAAATATGAACATTGAGTAACTTAAGATGAACTAGGCCTGTGACCTCATTTTTAGAATTTAAGTTGCTCAAGTACAGACACAATCACCTATTTTGTATTAATTTCAAGGTTTCTTTGCATTCACCAAGATGTGCTTTACACCTACTCTCTTGACTTATTTTTACCCTATATATTGCCCTTGTATTCTCCCCTTAATTTATTTTAACCTGTTTGGTGTTAAAAAATCTGTGTGAAACAGTAAATTTGACATAGTTTCTTCATAGTTTCTCCTTAAGTAGTGCTTTCTGTAGCCTGTCTCATGGGATGTGTATCCATTAGGATTAGGTTTGGCAGCATATAACAAAAATCCAACATGTTCAGGCCTGATATGGAAATTGATTTTTCTCTCACGTTCATCAAGTCTGGAATTAGGAAGTGAAGAGATAATAAGGAGTTTCACTGTATCGGGGATTCAGGCGTCTTCTGTCTTCCTGTTCTACTGTCCTTATCACATAGACTCATGATCCCAAATGACTACTTGAGCTCCAACTCTTATATCCAAACTCCAGGCAATAAAAGTGAAGAAGGGTGGAGGCAAAGGGGTCTTTGCTGGCTTAGTTTGGTCACTCTAAGCAGTCTTTTCTTCCCAAAAGACACAAAACCAGTTATTTCATTTTACATTTCATTAACCATGACAGGTCCCTGTGGCCTCTTGGCTGTTACCAGAGGGCCTTGAAAGTATGTAGAGTATTTGATTTCTCCCACACTGTACCCAGCTAGATTCTGTTGGGTTCTGTTCATTGTGAAGGAAGGATAGAATGGATGTTGAGGTAAGCAACTAAGAGCTTCTTTACCTCACAGTTATTACACAATTTTTTTAGGAACATAGGAAACCCGGTGAGGTCTAGGTGGCTCAATATCTGGTTTATAATATAATCATGGGAAATGATATTAAGGTATCTCTGCCCTGCCTGCTGATTTAAACTTATTTGATCTATATTAACTGTCATTTTTGTGTTATTGTTACCAGATACATGTGCTAAGTACTTTTTATACCTTCTCTATAATCCCTACCCTTTCTGGTAGGGCACTGGTATTTCATGCCACAAATGAGAAGACTGAGGGCAGATAGATTGCATAACTTGTCAGGTTCTCATGACTGGTTAAGTGGTGAGTCAAATATTGATCCCACTGTTTAAGATCAGTATGGACAACTGCCTCTGTCCTCTTTATTAATCTGTCTACATATATAGCTATCCACTGCTACCCCTGCTCCACTCCTTGTACATAAAAATTGTTTGAGGTTGCTCAGATATACACAAAAAACGACAAAACAAGAAGATAAGCAGATGGAAGGGAATATAAATGTGAGAAAACCTGATGAAGCTAAGATACATGTGGTACACAGAGCTGAATGCTTCATCATCCCAGACTGGTGCTGGAAGGCTTGGTCTGACTTGTGTTCCATCAAATACTAAAAGACAGGAAAACAAGCTTGAATTTTCTTTATTGGGACTCTTGGCATCTTCGTTGTTTTAATCATAGAATAATTTGAATCCTTATAAGGAATACTAGTTTTTCATTTTGCAGCTTCAAGGAATCTTTAAAGGTCATTATAATAGTAATGTTAGTGTTTTCTGGTTTTCTCTTTGTGGGTTAGGTAAGCTGAGAGAAGCGGAAACCTAGGGACACCTGGGTGGCTCAGTCAGTTGAGCTTTGGACTCTTGGTTTTGGCTCAGGTCATGATCTCAGGATTGTGAGATCAAGCCCCACATGGGCCGTGCTGAACATGGAGTTTGCCTGAGACTCTTTCTCTCTCTCTCTGTTCCTCCCCACCTCTCAAATAAATAAAGAAAAGTAGAAACCTAGTCAAAAAGAATTTTTTAGCTGGATATGGGTTATACGCTTAGTAAAAACGAGGGCTCATTTTTGTTTGTTTATAGAAATGCTCATATCATAGTTTTGAAAGGTATATTTTGGAAGACTGTGATCCTGACAAAAATGGTGTTGTGCTTTTTACCAGAGCTCCTTGAAGACAAAAGATTTTGTCTTACTCATTTTTTTCTCTGGTGTCTTCAGTGTATGGAAGATATTTGATAAGTGAAGAATGAATGAATGACTAGTAAATGAGAAAAATCTGTTAACTAATATAATTAATATTTCTCCTTCTTTAAACAAGTAAGCCAGTTACCTAAAATAGAGGAAAAATAGGTCATCTTTTTTTTTTTTTTTTTAGCCCTGGCAAGTTGTATGAGGTGGGTTATAGTAATGATTGGACATTGGGACCACGAAGTCCTGCCCTTGAACTTGGTATATTTGGAGAATTGCTATAACTGTGATACACCTGAAACATAGTGGTTGTCAAGGCAAGTAGCAGGAGATGAGTCTGGTAGGCTCCTGGCATGTAAAAGTTCCTTATTAATTGTAAGGAATACAAGTCAGGCCCAGATTTTAAAAGATTTTATATGATATGTTATCTTTTTGAAAATGACTTTTTTAATGGGCAACAGAAGGAACATGATTTGGTTTGAATAACATTTAAAAAATAAATAATGTAATTCATTTCTTGTATTTTAATTTTTAGGACTATTTGTGAAAAATAAATTAACAGAATATTTAATTACTTTATTTTGTTTTATTTCTCAGGATGTGATCTTCGTGGTGGGAAGCTAAGTTTTTAAACTACCCCAATGGATGCAGACAGTGATGTTGCATTGGACATTCTAATTACAAATGTAGTCTGTGTTTTTAGAACAAGATGCCATTTGAACTTAAGGAAGATTGCTTTGGAGGGAGCAAATGTAATTTATAAGCGTGATGTTGGAGTAAGTATCTTAATTTTGGTATGTGTGCTATATAGACTAATTTTATAGTGCTGTGAATCATATTCTAAAACATATTCTCTATACAGTTAGTTTATGAGCACCTTACCATGTACCAGTTGTACTGAATACAACATTGAGCCTTGTAGAAGTGGCCCCTCCTCCCATGAAGTGTCAGCTTTTGGATGTTCCCTGTCTCCAGGTCTTAGCAAAGAATTCACAGGCTACTAGAATTTTACTGTTCTCTCAATTTCTTTTAAATGAAGAAGGGGACATTTATATGTGGCATATACTTATTCAAATATAATTTTTTAGGGGCTCCTGGGTGGCACAGTCGGTTAAGTGTTAGTCTTGGTTTTGGCTCAGGTCCTGGGCTCAAGTCGTGAGATCAAGCCCTGTGTCAGGCTGTGCTCTCAACGCGGAGACTGCTTAAGTTCCTCTCTCCCTCTAGCCCTCCCTCCACTCTCACTTTCTCTTTCTCAAATAAATCTTTAAAAATATATAGTTACATGAATGATGTATGATATGAATGATGCCCTAATATATATGTTGTGATTTTTGTAGTATATTTTAATACCCCTCTTTATTTAGCCAAAATTGTTGGTATTCTTTAGTAACAAATTGCTGAAAATAATATGGTTCATATCCTAACCCAGACACTATATATTTTAGTTTTTGTTAGACCTGTAATATTTAAAATAAAAGCATTGATAACTTGCTTTTAACCTTAATGAGATTAACATTACAAATGACAATGTGTGTTCACTGGCTTTTATAAACCAAATGATATTGAAATATATATCTTATACATTTATCATGAAAATTATGAATGTATATGAAGGCTCTAGCTCTAAAAATTAGGTGCCAGTATATCTCAGTAAATTATCATTAGCTCTTAGTACTAGAAACTAAGTTAAGATGAATTAAATTCAATTAAAAATTGCAGTGACCCACAATTAAAGATTTTCAAGTTCATCAGTAATGCCATAGTCACCTAAATAAAGGAAAAAGATATCTGCTAAGAAGGTTAGAGAGTAAAATGCCTAATACTGCTTTGGAACTTAGCATGCCATGTGACAGGGAAGTGATTTTTCATAGAAGGTTAATTGAAGAAGCTGAATTGATGGATAAGGTGGTGGTGAAAGACAATTAAATGCAGAATAAACTCTGTTTCTCAGCCCCTTGTGTATGAAATTTTATAATATCTTTTAGTTCCAGTTTAATTTGGCTCGTTGTTAAATTTTATCCTTCCACCTTTTTAGTTTGATAATATGACATATGACAGAGAAAGGGTGAAACTCCAAAAGTAACAGAAGTTTTAAGGAGACATCCGATTCATTTATATGTTACAGTATTCAGTAAACATTTATCTTATGCATAATGGGCATATAATATTTTCCATAAATTAAAAATTGCAATGAAAATTTAAATTCACATTGTTCTCTTGGACCTTAGTCCTTGGCTGATTTATGCTCACTCTGTAGATAATTTCATTCAAACCCACAACCTTAAATGCCTTTCATATCTAAGGAATCTAAAATTACATCTCCAGGTCCAACATTTGTCCTGCACTCAAGATTTGTGTATTGAACTTGAATATGTAGTAGGCATCTCAATTGTAAGATACAATATAATGATGAGTACCATGAAGCAGAATAAAGCAGGGTAGGAGGTGGGGAGCAATGCGGAGATGGGTGCTTTGGTGGAGTGGTCAGGGAAGGCCTCTCTATCTGACATCTGGTGAGAGAAAGAAAGTGAGAATACCGAAGGAAGAGTATTCCAGATGAAAATAGTAACAATTACTGCAAAACTCCTGAGGTTTGAATAAGTTTGGCATCTTTAAGGATCCATGCAAATTGCAAATTCCAGTTATGTGACTAGGGTGGAATGAGAGTTAAAAAGTTTGCATGCTTGTAGCACATTGATTTCAAGTATATAGTAAGACGTTTATACAGACCTTGTATTTTTAATTAATTAAATGTCCTTTTGAATTAATATGTTCTTTGTGTTCAGTATGGTACTTGATTTCAGAATGGATGATTTGGAGAACAGTTATTTATTTCAGTCTTGGGTAAGCGTTGAGTAGTAGTTACACTTTTATTAAAATGGCCACATGGAGCAGAATCATAAGTGAAAATTAACACTTAATATATAACCACGTTTTTGTTTTATTTTGTTCTTTTGCAGAAAGTATTAATGAAGCTTAGAAAACCTAGAATTACAGCTACAATTTGGTCCTCAGGAAAAATTATTTGCACTGGAGCAACAAGGTAAATTTTACTTGAATTTTTTACTTGAATTTTAAAATTTTTCCTTCGTGGAAAGGACATTTTCCTAGACTTAAAACAAAATCATGTGTACAATTTGTTTGTCAGTATAAAATTCATTTCCTGTGTAACTGATAATCTTTTCTTTCCTTAAAACCATAGTGAAGAAGAAGCTAAATTTGGTGCCAGACGTTTAGCCCGCAGTCTGCAGAAACTAGGTTTTCAGGTAACATTTTCAAAAAACATCCAAACTACAAATATTATGGGATTTAATTTATAAAGTTAAACTTTTTAATTTGATAGACTAAAGAAATCACACAGAGGGGCGCCTGGGTGGCTCAGTCAGTTAAGTGTCTGACTTTAGCTCAGGTCATGATCTCAGGGTCCTGGGATTGAGCCCTGCCTCGGGGCTCCCTGCTCAAGGGGGGCCTGCTTCTCCCTCTCCCTCTGCCACTCCCCTGTTTGTGCACGGTTTCGCTCTCCCTCTCTCTCTCTCAAATAAATAAATAAAATCTTTAAGGAAAAAAAAAAATCACACAGATACTCTTCTCCTGATTGGCCTTTTTCTTATTGTCCTTCAGTACAAAAATTTAGTAGCAAACTCTTAACTCATGTGAGTACTTGTAAAGGATCTTGGCATTTTCACTAACCCCTTGCTCACTGAGAGACTTGTTGCCTTACAAGTGAACTGCCTTTTCAATTCTTTTAGGCTGTTCAGTTCTCACCAAAAAAATCTTGTTTTTGATCATCTCAAGAGTGGTATGTCAGGCTGATGAGTAGAGAGTAGGGCCATATGTTTAAAAAGTTAAAGTGTATTTGTTTTTATAGATAGCTATCACATAAATTATAAAGAAGAAAAAAGAACTACAATGGAACTTCCACAGATCTATGCATTTAATGGCTAAGATTAAACAGTGTTCCTAGGGGCGCCTGGGTGGCTCAGTCGTTGGGCGTCTGCCTTCAGCTCGGGTCATGATCCCAGGGTCCTGGGTTCGAGCCCCATATCGGGCTCCCTGCTCAGCGGGAAGCCTGCTTCTCCCTCTCCCACTCCGAGCTTGTGTTCCCTCTCTTGCTGTGTCTCTCTCTGTCAAATAAATAAAATCTTTAAAAAAAAAAACAGTGTTCCTACGTATTACGGTTAGCGAGAACATTACTCTTATAATAGGGAATTGTGATTATTTAAAATATGCCGAACTTACATAATCTGTGCTTTAGCAATAACTACACTGTGTTGTAAGTTGAAAAGAATTGACATGACTAACTAATACCAACTATACACCAGTGTATAAGGACTCAGAAAAGGCTGCATTCTGTAAAATCAATCAGATGTATTAAAAATGACATAAATCAAAACAAAATGCACATTGTATAAAAAGGGACATTTGTAAGATTGGCTTGCTGTGTCAAAGCCGTGGTTTGGTCCACAAAAAGTACACACTGGTTGGTGCGCTCTCACATGTAAAGTGACTGTCACTGGCAGGTTTTATCAAATATAATTTTATGGGGGCATAAATTTAAGTAAAATTAGTACATATTTTGGATTTGTTACATCATTTGCAAATGATGAGTAAATGAGAGAAAGATAAAGATGAGCTGTGGTCCCCAAAGAGGTGGGTCCAGGCTGTATGGAATTTGAATGAGCAGTGTTGGAAAGTTGAGTTTCTTTCTGACCTCTTCAGTCTTCCCTGAGGTGGAAGGTGCTAGAAAGGCATGGAAGTGCTGGTGGGTAGGGGGAGGGTTGGTGCTTGAGAAAAGTGGCAATATTGAGAGTCTTGACTGATGGTGGTGCCACTTTGGGATAGTTTTGTGACTTTCATCAACTGCCTTGTGCAAGTACTCAGCTGGAGAACAGTTAATCCAGAATTATGGTTTTACTGGGAACATTTCAAAGCATAATAAGATACAGCCATTCAAGTTATTGGTAGGAGTGGCTGAAGTTACTTTTCAGTCTTGGAGCTTCTTGTCTTAGCATAACATTGGAAGTGTTGAGAAAAATCCCAGTTAACACAGTTTTCTCACCTTACCCCCACAAAAAGAAAACTGATGAGCAGTTGTTTTTTTTTTTTTCTGATGAGTAATTTTTTTGTTTCAAAACAATTCATTGAGTTGTACTTCTTTCCTGCAGGTAATATTTACAGATTTTAAGGTCGTTAACGTTTTGGCAGTGTGTAACATGCCATTTGAAATCCGTTTGCCAGAATTCACAAAGAACAATAGACCTCATGCCAGGTAGGTCTTTGAAGAATCAAGACAACTTACCAAATTTGTAATTACTTGTCAACCTGTAAATATTTATATTAATTGTGGTTTGTTTTTTTTTTTTGGTATAGTTACGAACCTGAACTTCATCCTGCTGTGTGCTATCGGATAAAATCTCTAAGAGCTACATTACAGATTTTTTCAACAGGAAGTATCACAGTAACAGGTATTTTATGATATTGGAACCAAGCTTATGGTCAATTATGGTTTGAATGAGGTGCCTATATCGAACTGGAACTAATGTCTCATTTGTCCCCGTTAGTCACTTCTACTCCTCAAGGGCAAACAGTCTCCTGACTTTTAACACTGTAGTTTAGTTTTCTCTACTTTTATATACTATTTTAAAATCTTATATATGCTATTTTGGATCTGTCTTCTTTCACTCATTATTATCTTAGTGTGAGATTCATCCATATTATTCCATGTAGTTGTAGATCAGTCATTCTTATTGCTGTATAGTATCCAGCATGTGAATTATACTGTCCGTAAGCATTTGGGTAGTTTCCAGTTTGGACCTGTTAAGAATATTCTAGTATATATTTTCATAGTATGGTATTTCTTTAATTTATGATGTCTTGCATTTAAAATATTCAAGAGGAACCCATTTTATAAACTTCATGGAGAAGAGGTTTTATATAAGTAAAATAGGCAAATATCATTGGTACTTATCTGTCATGTCTTATGTGTATTTTGTTCTATAACTTTTGAGTCGTAAGTATTTAGAAGGGGTGGTTTCAAGCAACTAGGCATAGAGAACATTAGCACACAGGATAGCTTTAAAGGTACTGTATTTATAAATGGTACAGAAACATCACTTGGGATCCAATCTTCAGCTAAATTGAGTTCAGAAGAATTTCTTTGGTGTTCTTGAATTTTTCCTTGTATTCCTTCAGTCCTTAGAGGAAAATACACATTATTGACACCTTTAGACTCTCAACAAATAAACCTAGTTTTGACTCATCCTGTGGGTTTTCACATCTTCCTTGGAGACTTTTAAAGCCTACTGCCAGCGTCATGCCTGAATCTTAAAGTGGAGGGATGGTGAACAGACCCATTTGTTCCCTTCTTTCAACTTTCTCTTTCTACATTTTGGAGCCCAGACTTCTGAGAAACCCCAAAGTCTATTGATCCATAGGTCCCTACTAAGTATAGAGTTTACAATGCATAGGTAAAATCTATATTTACTGAGTTAATAGATAATTAAACAACATAATAACAGGCTGAGGATAATTGGGTTAATTAGTATGCATTATATATTTACATCTGGAACATGCTATGAAACGTTAACAATTCAGTGAACAGATACTGAGTGGTTCCCATAGGCAAAGCACTGTCCTGTGTGGGGGAGGGGAGGGTAATCAGGAAGGAGCAGACCCAGATAACACGTGGTCAGTACCTTCAGAGAGTTCACAGTGGGTGCAATATGTACGTTTTCAGCATCTTTCAAAGAATTAAGAATTTTGAATTTTGTTCAAAATCAGTTTTATGAAAATATTTTCATCATCTCTTTTTATGTTTCTTTTTAGCTATTTAAATGGAGATTACATTTTTAAAAAGTTATTCCAAGCATTATATGGATTAATTCACATATACCGTCACCCCCTTCCCGCATGTGTGTTTCCCTATTTACTGAGTAAGCTGTGAGGATGAATGGCCAGATTAATATTAAACATGTGGCAGGTAGTGAGTACTAGTAAATCTGTGAGGGGTTTTTAGACCACTTAGTTAATAACCGCTCTCCAGTTTCCCAATACTTTGGAAGCAGCTTTGTTTTACTTTACTGGGTTCCTCAGTACTCCTGTGAACATCAGCGGTAGCCTAACCAAAAGCCAGGCTACAGTGACCAAAAGGATAGTGACCAAAATGTCTAGTCCCGTTTATCATTTCTTCCTTTAATCAGCATCTAACAGCGCTGTTAGATGTGATTTTTATATAAACTGTCTTCACACTGCCCTAAACGAAGGTGAATAATAGCATTTTGTGTTTCACATTTCCTTGAATTGTTCAGAAAAAATTTTACTCTCTTGGTTTTATTATGACTGTATAATTATGTAAAGTGTAGATCTTTTTTTTAAACAATTAATCCGATAGTCTAAACCATGTGAATGTTTTCAGTGCTGGGAAATGCACGTTCCTAGCGCTCGTCTCATGAGGCCTTTCTCCGTTGTGCTTGTTACAGGGCCCAACGTAAAGGCTGTTGCTACTGCTGTGGAACAGATTTACCCATTTGTGTTTGAAAGCAGGAAAGAAATTTTATAATTCATCACGTAATTGGTTAGAATCCCTAACTGAGCACCTTTTAAAACCTGCTGCACATTGGACTCAAAACAAAAGGAAAACTGGACCAACATTAATTGAGGAAATAGACTCTTTTATTCATTCACGGCTACAGTGTAAGCTCCAGGCCCTTTGGATTTTATTTCAAACCTTGCTGTAATATAAAAAGGAAGTTTACAAGACATGACATTGCTGCTTTTACAAAAGGACATTCTATTTATTTTCGCAGTAATTCTCATGTCCCCGTAAGCAGAGCTGTCACAGTGTGCACTACCTTAAATTGTTTCATTATTGTCATTATTTCTTCCCAGTTTGAGCTAATGTGTTTTATTTGTGAATAGTCTTTTACATTTTTGTATGCTGAATATGGGCACCAAAGAACCTGTAAAAGTTATCTTTTTCAATTGAATGTGCACAAATAAAAGTTTGGAAAAGATCTCTCTTCATATCCATTCTGTAACTTTTATTCCCCATTTTCTATTTTAACAAAAATTGTATTCATAATTCTTTTTTCTTTTTAATCTATGCAAGCTTAGACTTTTGCTAAAGTGTGTTGGCTTCTTTTTGAAGTGTATTTTGTAAATATATATATGCCACATGTGTATAGTATCTTTTACTGCTCTGTTACCAAATATTAAATAGGAATTTTTTTCTTGCAGATTAGAAATAAAAGTATGTATATAAACTCTAGGGAGCAAACCGGAGTAGAACTTTATAGATTAAGCATAATGTTTTATGTTGCTAATTTAATATGATAGAAAATGTTAAATATCTTTTACAAGTTACGAAGTAGTTTTAAAAAGCGAAACCTCTTACCTACAAGATGGATAGGAGAAAGAAGCTGTGATGGGTTGTACCTCATATGGACTTTTGTTGTTCTGGTAAGACTCACCTCTAGTTGTAGGAAAGTAGTAATCTTAGGTTGGTGCTGAAGGCTATACTAAGAGTCTTGTCAGAAGTTGATACATTGTGCTGTTTTAACAAGAAGTGCCCACAAGCTGCCTCTGTGCCACAGTATAATTATAATATAGTTCAACTTGAACTTGAAAGCCATTTTGCAAGATACGTCTTTCCCCTCGCTGTGTCTTATTTAATGGAGCTGAAGAGTGACTGTTCAGTATTTGGGATTGCTCCTCTTATAAAGTTACAATAAGTATGCATTTGTGAAACATTAGCCCTTCCCGCTCACCCAAGAGCCCTGGGGGTAGTACACGATCAGGCTGCACCTGTGTCTACCACTTGGGATTAGGAGGTTAGTAGAACCAACAGTAATTTCACTTAGAAATAAAGCTGAGTGGAGAGTCCAATTAGCTTCCTAGTAGTAACTTAATAGAGACAATATTCCAACACAATCTTCCACTAAAACCTGAATTTTCAAAATGTTTTGAAAGTTTCATGAAAAATTGCAATGTCTTGTCCTCCGTATTCTAGTTCATTTTCCTTACCATATTTATAAAGTCTTCCAAACCTAGCTTACATACTGCACTGAACAACATACGTTATTTTATATTTATTTTTATCTTCTTTTCTCTCGATGCCTTCCCCTACTGTGCCTGTCACTCTTAAATCGGGGGGCGAAGGCTAGCTTTTATATTTTCTTTCTTGTGAAAGACTTGTTATTTTCAAACTTCTCTTATTCTCTCTCTCTTTTTTTTCTTTTACATTGTGTTTATTTGCTTCATTTTAAGATCCAGCAGTATAGGGTAAACCTCATAAAATATAGAGGATACAATTCGGTGAAGAAGTCACAGGTTCTGGGAGACTATTTTTAAAAATTGAGATTTTCCACTTAGCTTTAATCAACAGTAATAAGTGACCTGTTTTGTAAATGTTCACAAAAAAAAAAGAAATATAGAAAAGGTGGAAAACATGATTATATGGCCAAGGTGCAGATCCAGATATTGTAATATTTTCAGTATTCAAGTGACTTGAAAAGTAGGTAGATCAGTAGCTCATCAAAACGCTTTCTCAGAAAAGAGGAAGAAAGACAATCTAACCAGTTCAGGTTTCAGGGCTGCTGTGTGAGTGTCACCTGGCAAAGTGTCATGGATAACCCACTAAACTTAACGAAGCTGGTAAGAATGAGCGTGTCTGATGTCTTCTGCTGGCTCTTCACAAGTGCTGTAAATTTTTTTATAAATAAAAACTGTGAATATATACATACAAATGATAAGTATTCCCCCTTTTTTATTTTTGAAAATCAAAAAACTCTGGTTAGGGGTGTATTGGGTAAAAATTTGTTTGAAGACAGAATTATTTAGTTACAGACTCAGGATAATAGAAAAATACAAGCATGTTTAAGATACTGAAGTTGAAATCACTAGTGATAAACCTCCTAAGTTTATGAACAATTTCCTACCCATTTATGATGAATGGCTAAAACAAGAAATTGCTAATGTAGATATACAGTGTTTGAACTTTGAAGGAAACATGTAACAGTTTTGTTAAATGTCTTACAATCTGTGATGCTTGACAAAGAAAAAAATTCGTATCGATTACCTGTCTTGATTTTTTAAAAATCAGCTCCACATATAATTCCACTGAGGATTCATAATAAATTTCTTAAACTGATCCTCTACAGAACACACTTTTCCTTCTCCTTCCAAAATAAAACAAAAAACATGCTCTAACTTGCGTAGGAAATGTAGTGTGGTAGAAGATCTCAAGTCTCCCTTCCTTGTAACTTTCCCCTGCCAATCTTTATGTAATACATTTCAGAATCAGGACTTTCAGGCATTCTCCTGAGTCTCTGCTAATACAGTTCCACTCTTACTTACAGAGACTTATAGTCTTTCCATTTTGTTATAGGGGAATTCCTAGATCATATACCCTTATATCAAACTGGGACAGTTTGTTAGGGGCCAGTAGGAAAATTCCAGTCTAAATAACAAAGGGTTTTGGCTCTTAGGATTCTCTTTTCTTCAGGCCAATCATAATGTTTTATTCTTTTTCAAGTTAGGTTGTTCATGCTTTTTAAGTTTTTGTGTGTCTCCCATAGCTTATAGTAATTTAATGGGTCACTACTTAAGTAGATCGAGATTCTTTATTGCAGATTTTCTGTCATCATATCCAAATTGGTAAAATACCTCACCGAGTCCTAATCAACTGGAGAAATACAGAAGAGAGCAATTCATTGTTGTGTGGGAAAAACCCAAGTTTCTGGTACAGTTGGTGACCTCCATTTCATCCTAGAGAAGAACATGGTGAGGGAATTGTCCTGATGTCTGAATGTCACTCACTACATCTGCAGTCATCTGAAAGCATCAGTTATAGCCCGTATGCCATAACCTGAGGTAGTGACAGTCCTGAGGAGTGTAAAGAATTGCAGGAAGCTATGGATCGCTACTAAGTCAGCATGAAAGCCTTCCAAGGAGAGAGTTTTATAAGCTTGACTTAATAACTCACACCTAATTGATTAGAGATTTGGATCAATAACCTAATGACCTGACTCCTTTTCTAAGGTTTTACTAACAGGTACTACTAAATAAAAATGGTCCCAGCATTTTTACATTGTCCTTTCTAGTCGTATTTTTTAAAATGGATGGAAAAATGTTTACTTTTCTCAACTATTGCAGAATTGTTTCTTTTAATATTTTATACATAAAATTCATTAAAGGGCATTACACTGTAGTTCATAATTCATAAAAGCAGCTGCATAATCTTTGTACCTGTTGAACTATAGTTAGGAATTATCACTGAAATCCTAGCCAGGATCCTCTCCTAATCTAGAACATAGGTGCAATTACCCACGTTGTGTCCTGGTTCTTTTTTACAGAAGGCCCAGTGCAAGTAGTGTTGTAGTGGGCAAAAAACCATAAGCTCGTGTTCAGGCCACTTCGGTGTCTGAATCATAAAGCTGCAACCGGCCTCTGTACATACATACCTTAAGGCAAAAGTTGATCGCATTACTAGTTCACAGTTTTTCAAAGGTTGCTCTGTGAAAAAGGTGCAAAGTACTGAACCAGCCAGTATGTGTTTCACCTGGTATCCTACGCAGAGTAAGAAAGGGATCATGGGATCTTGTACCTCATTTACCTTTCGAGAGGTGGAGGTTAAGGGTGGTCTTTATAATTTCAGGGTGTCTCTAAAACTAGCTCAGCAACACTAAGGAGAAAACATGGGAGTGGCCAATATGTATTGGTACAAAGACACCCTTCGAATTGTTCTTCTACTTTATCAACATTTCTAAGGTTTGAGGCCATTAGGTCTCTGGAGAAAGCTGCCTTGGTTGTCCCCTACCACACAGCTTTTTACACTCCAAGAGCTGCTCTTGGGGTTTTCTTTTTTGAAGCGGTTTTGGCACTAATTCCTCTTGATGATGACTCATAAAACAAATGTTGTTTTTCACATAGTTCCTGAAAGAGAAAGAAGCACTAATGAAAATGTCACCCTTAGTTTATAGTACTTGGAAAAAAAACAAAAAAGGTACAGGCTATTATTTTTTTAAATCACCCTGGGGCTTTAATGTTTTAACTAAGCCAAAAAGACATTTTTATTGCAAAGCCTTGATGTATCATGAAATTCAGTATACCACCAAACTTTGGTCATTCTCACGCAAAGGGTAAGGTGGGAAGGGTGACTTCCCAGAAAAATCAAGGCATTCCTACCTGCAGAGTCCAAGGATAGAACTAATGGAGATAATGTCCCAGATCCTATTTTATTTTTCTCCTCTTCTCAAACTCTACCAATATGCCTATATTTATGTCTGTGTAGTCTGCCTTCTGCATTACCTGCTTGCTCCTGCATTAATAAATTCTATGGATTGGGTGCCTGGGTGGCTCAGTCGTTAAGCGTCTGCCTTCGGCTCAGGTCATGATCCCAGGGTCCTGGGATCGAGCCCCACATCGGGCTCCCTGCTCCGCGGGAAGCCTGCTTCTCCCTCTCCCACTCCCCCTGCTTGTGTTCCTGCTCCCACTGTCTCTCTCTCTGTCAAATAAATAAATAAAATCTTTAAAAAAAATAAAAATAAAAATAAAAAAATAAAGTCTATGGATTATTTCCATCAGCATAAAAATATGCCCTAGTATTTTACGTTTTTTAAAAACAAAGTAAGGCCACCTTTGAACCTCTTTCAAAGATCTTTTCCTGTCATTTAATCAGTTACTTGAGTATAGACTTCTGCTTTCAAGGACGTTACCTTTTAATAAAGGAGACAAGTGTATAAGCATGTAATTTCAAGTATTAAAAGTGCTACTGAGAAAAATGGAGAGGAAAGAAGAATGAAAACAGTCGGGTGGAAGGTGACTAGATCATATACTGCTGGCACCACTCTAAAGAGGTGACATTTGATCAGAAACTGATGAGGAAACCCTGTGAAGAACTGGAAGCACTGTTTCCAGAAAAGTCAGAGCATGGCTAATACACGAACAACGAGATGAGCTTAGATTTGTGTCATTTGAACCACAGGGTGTTGAGCTGAGGAATGACATCTTTAAAAGATCAACTGCTGTATCGAGGATAGACTGGAGGGTGCAGGGGCTGGAAGACCAGTGTAGTGGTTAGTCTAGTCCAAGGAAAAGATGGTGGTTGCGACTAGGCATGGCCCTAGTTGAAAGGGTCAGGTTCATGGTATGTTTTGTTAACAGATTTAATAAGATTTAGTACAGATGTGAGGTGTAGGGATTATCATGGATGAATCCTAAGCGTGTGGCCTGAGGAGCCCCTCCCCACAACCCCCAGGCAGAAGGTTTGCGGAGGAATGTGTGTACATTTGGGTGAGTGGGACTGAGAATTAAGAATTCTGTGTAGGTCATGTTAAGCTAGAGATGCCTATTAGACATTCCAACCAAAGATGTTAAGTAAGCAGGTTTGGAAATTTGAAAGTCAGGTAAAAGGTCAAACCCTGGAGATATACATTTGGGAGTCCTCATTTTATGGCTTATAATGCCTTTGGGATAGAT